CAGTGACTCTAAAAATGGCTTGCAGGCACCAGGTTTAGTCTGTGCTCTTTGAAGCTATTTCCATATCAAGTGTGCTCAGTTAACAATAAGAAACTTTTTCCCCCTATTTGTGAGCCCCACACATGTCAGTTGGAACCTAGGGGTCAACCTGGGTTTTTCCTTCTCATGCACAGTGACCCAAACGCAGTGATTCTGCGAGCCAGAGTGAGCCCTCAATTACATGCGTGCAGCTCTACAGTCTGCTGTGGCTTTGCACAAGGTTTAACTGACTGGAAATGATTCTGTGGTGATAAACAGGAGGGAATAGAAACCAGCTCCCTCTGTTCGTTCTGCTACATCTGCTGTGCTAACAGGAGCAAAAAGCAGTGAACAGTGGTTTTAATTATTAAGGGAACAGATAGAAAATATGTAAGAAGCAACTGTATTTGCAGAAGCAGTCTGCTTGAAAGTCCATGTTTTCAAAAATCTCCAGCTTCTACATAATAGAGTATTCAAGCTGACAAGGGGAGTAAAATGCTCCCCTTTTCTTGGACATGTCATTAATGTGATAGGAAGATTATATATAGTTCTCATAACAAAAAGTGAGCAAATTATTTAAATTATTTTGCATGAAATAGCAAGGTCTTATTCAGGAGAATGCTTTATAGTAGTGTAGCAGGCCAGAGATCATTATGTTTACATTTTGCTATGCTATAATGAGCCATAACCTGCTATGAGCATTTTATCATTTATTAATTGGTATGTGCAGCTTTGGTAATCAGACATTAATTTTTTTTGCTCTTCTGAAGTCTCTGTAGTCTGAAAGATGGCAGTTCATGTTTACCTGATCTTTTTTTAATATTCAATGTAATATTTATAGTGTTACATACTGCTAGATAGTAAGCAACAGATCTTTCTCCATTCAGGGTTTGATCTCACAATCCCAGTGCAGATTAAACAGAAGATAATCTGTTAGCAAGAGAAAAAAAAAGCCAAGAATATAATTTCAAACTGTGTAAATAATGAGCAACTGAATCATTACATGTGACCATCTACTTTGATTTTTTCTTCCAGTTGTGTGTAATACTGGAGCCAATGCAGGAACTGATGTCAAGACATAAAACTTACAATCTAAGTCCTCGAGACTGCTTGAAGACTTGCTTGTTTCAAAAATGGCAGAGAATGGTGGCACCACCAGGTATGTTGGATTTCCAGTATTTTAATAGTTTATAGTTAAATGAATATAATGAAATAATGAAATGAATACTGCAATGAAATGATGAAAAAATACTGCAAATCTACTGATAAAAAGGAATAAAAAGAATTAAAACAGTTGCAAAAGTAAGCATGAAAATTATTCTGATGTTACATAATTTCAGTCTGATGCCACATAATGTGAAGCAAGATTTATAGATATACACATTCAGAAGATTTCGCTGTGTGCAATATATAATTTAATATAAGAATATGTGTAGCTAGAATGTAAAATGCCCACTGGCTCCATTAGAATTCATAATTTTTGCAAGTCAGCTTCCTGCCGTGATTCTGGAATTACAGCTACAATTCATAATTAGTTATCTTTAAGCCGAAAATAATTTTACTTACAGCACTGGACTTCATCTTCCTCCTCTTACACCCCAAAATAACAATCTACTCATTTTCAGATTATTAAAAATTTGTATACTTAAAGGTATTCGCATGGATACCCAGGCCATATGATGTCAAATTATTGTCACATTAATTCTTTTCCAATTTAAGACAAGTCAGGGAAATATCCTGACTTGGTCTAAATTTTGAAGCATCGTAGAGAAATGGAATTGAGCCTGTCTTAACACATGCCATGCAAAAGTGGGTTCTAAAGATGAAGCCCATGTCAGAGGTAGAAGGAAATGATAATACCTGAGTTTGGATGCAGTGTTGATGTCCCTTTATCCTTTGTCACCAGCAATCATCTGGGGATGTGGCCCACGTAGGCATAATGAGAGCTGTGTTTTCATTTAGCACTATCCGATCCTCACAGTGTGGCCTTCACTAAGTTGGACCATCCCTTTGAACATGATTGATAATTACCCTGATGCTGCTATTGATAAGCTGCTTTCAAAATATTAATGAATAGTGATGGGAGAATAAACTTCATTAATTATTTACTCAAAACTGAAAGCAGATTCATTGGATTGGGTACAAATAATATTCTAAGGTTTGTAAGTTAAAGCTAAATTAACCATTGGTAGTAGGCATAGTACTACTAGTAGTAGTAAACACATGAATTTAAAACCGAATGAGAAAATAATTTAGCACATCTGCTTATAGTTCATTCTAGTACATACTTTACAATATCTCTGTTTTCTTTGCTTCTTACCACTTTATTGCAGCAGAACCCACAAGACAACCGACTACCAAACGGAGGAAAAGGAAAAACTCAACCAGCAGCACTTCCAACAGCAGTGCTGGGAACAACGCAAACAGCACCAACAGCAAGAAAAAGTCAGCAGCTGCAAACCTGAGTCTATCAAGTCAGGTACCTGTAAGTCTCACTTTTCTTTTAGGCCTGAATCACTTACAGTGCTTTAATTCTTTCATTATGTTGTAAAGAAGGTGCATTCTTGAGCCTAAACTATCGCAGGCAAAAAGCAGTCTTGCACAGTGTGCTGTGGAAGCTGGGGAATTAGTGGGGAAATGGGAAGAATCCAGTCTGCAGTGCAGTTTTAACGAGTGACCCTCAAGCAGGGGATGTCATGAGGAACAGATGTAATGTTTTAAAGGCCTGGGCCAACTCCTGTTCATGTCAAAGGAAGATTTTCCACTGGCATTGGGAATCGTACTGGGCCTCCTATTCTTAGACACAGTATGAGCGCTGATCGCGTCTTTCTGAATCCCATCTGCACGAGTGGAGCATGAGGATTGCAGAGCAGAGCAGGCACTGGTCTGGCCACATGCCCATCTCACCTGTAGTTGGTGCCCGTTTCAGATGCTGCAGTGGAGCAGGTTACGAGCTAACTTACCTGCAGAGGCCATCTCTTTCTGAGAGCGCTCCGCTTGCAGAAGGTAGATCCCCTGGAACATGGGTGTCTGTTTAGTTACCCTGTTAGCTGTAGCAGTTGGCATCCTAATTACATTGGAAAACACCTAATCATTTCTTGAACCATGCTAGAACTTTATCAGTGTCCTGTTTATTGTTCTACTTCCTGCATGGGGGTAATTTGCCCGAAATTGTAGCAAAGTGTGCTTTAATCAATAAAGAGGCAGCTTGTATGTTTTAAAGGTAGGGAAATTCATTTGACATTATAGAAACTGTAATGTGGTGTCTGGTGAATAGGATATGAAGATTTTTATTGGAAATCTGATCAACAAATAAAAAGGGCCAGGCTTTTTTGAAGCATATAGCTCTTCCATTAGCACAGAGTGGGCACTTCCTAGAAAGCCTGACTACCCAGATAAAAATGGGAATAGACTAATACCAGTGATATGAAATAAAGATTTTTGGTTAGCAACAGATTCAGCAATCCAGTTTACAGCAACTTTGAGCTTCAGAACAGTAAAGTCATATTTTCTTCTTGAATATTAAGATTTTCACATGGCTCGCCTCCCTGGAGTGAGATTCTTTCCCTCATACAGGCATCTCTGGGTCTTTCTGGCAGTGCAGAGCAGTCTGAAGGCCAACTACCTGATCCCCTGGTGGCAGCGGCCACTCTGCCTCACTCCCTGTGTCTGCCAAAGCCACTCCTTGGATCAATACTCAGCCATACTTAAGGAAAAAAAAAACATCGATTAGGTGCAAAACTGAGCAACCAGCTACTTCCCTGCTGTCTCCAGGTTTCAAAGACCGTAAAATTACTTTCTCTCTACCCTGAGTTCAGTTCACTAGAACCAGCATTTGACCCTCTGCTTCTTTTAAGCCTCATCTTCCCTGGAGATATGTTGACTTTTGTAGGGTTCAGTGGTAGCCACATGTCCTTGTACATTTGAGTGTTGTTGGGCCCTCTGAGAGTTATCCATGACTCCCAGTGATAGCAAAGCTGCCTTTAGGTATGCAGAGGCTACTCCTGCCTGATGAAGTAGTCAAGGTTACTCTTGCTGATGGTAATGATAGTTTGGCATCTGAGACTTGAGGGGTGGGTTTTTAGTCTTCATTGACTTTCAGAACACTGAATAGTGAATAGTGTTTGATCAATAGAAAGGTGGTCCGAAGTGTGTGGTATGGGCACCAAGTTCCATTTTCAGGACATTTCTCCTTTTACTCTGCACAGTGAAAATGCTTAGCTGCTTGATTTGTCATGTTAGCAGTTTTCCCCATCTCCTCCAAGGCAAAGGTAACAAGCCAGATGGAAGTGATGGTCGGGCCACCCTGTAGCATAGAATGAGCTTAAAATAATTTTAGCTGTAGGATATTTTGCTGAAAAACTATTCAACACTTTTCAGTTGAATGCAGAAATGTTGCTGTGTGTCTTCCAAATCATGCATTCTTTGAAGTGAGCAACACCTTACCACAGACATGCCACTATGTCTAGAGTTAGCTGAAAGTAGCAATAACTTGCTTCCTGCTTCCTTGTCTTAACTTCACCCAAGAGGAAGTCAATTGGTAGTTAATGTTTGGTTTGCTTTATATGCAATAGAATATTAGATATACTCAAATACTGTTCAATGGTTTCTGTCTAAGTAGGAGCTACATTTGATCAGTGCTTTGTGTAAATGGGACTTTCCTGCTCAGTAGAAAGAGCTCCTGAAAGCACTTTCAGTTTTGAAAGTGTTTTTCTCCCTACTATTAGATGAGTGAAACTGCTGCATATTTTGTTTCCAGGTGACTCTCATAAGCAGATTGCTTCACTTCCATTTTTCCCATATCATTTTCTCTGGACAACCATCTACTACAGTGACCTCCCGTATACACCAAACCTGGATTAATGTGAAGTCCAGATGTAAGCTTTTTCTTTCTCTGCACTGATTTCATCCCAGCCAGCAAAGACACTCTATTCACCCTAATACAGTCCAATTCCTTCATTCCTGTCACTTTTATGCTTCCATTTTAGTTTCTCTTTGGTAGTAAATTAATCTTTCTTTGGCACCTACTTTAGTCTTTCATGGATTAGGACATAGTAATTGTTCAGTTCTGCTTCTGCGGTGACACTGTGTAGGTCTGGCAGGTATGTGAACTCAATCATACCTCTCATCCATGTTTGTCACCCTTATCATTAGTTCCTCTTTCTACAGAGATGTCTAGATGGGCAAATACTCCATGTTCAGCACAGTGACCAGAAAGTGGTGCCATCAGCAAAGACGAAGTTTGAAACTTCACCGAGTTGCTGAACTTCCCCATAGTCCATTCTAGATTTTCAGATACATTAGGCTAACCAAATATTAAGCAGTAAGATGAGCGAGTATTTGTTACCTACATATTCTTCTTCAATAAACAGTGGTTGTGCCATGTCCTCTACCAGCATATTTTCTGATCAGTTCTTCAGGCAGGGACTTTACTGACATTACAGAGACAAAGCCCAGAAAGGGAAACCACATGGCTCCATTTCCATGGGTGGGTCAGGCATCAGGTCAGGCATCCTGAAGTTGAGCTGCTGAAGTCTGATCCGTCAGTATCATTCGTGCCCTTTGTGTTGCCATAAATTTATTAGCACTTTGAATGTTGTGACACATTCTAGTACATGTTTAATGACATAGTCATCAAAAGCATCTTAAGGGTCTCTACAAGTGGTGGGATATGCATCTTTCCTCTCATCAGTAATTTGAAAAGGGTCATTCTCATCTGTCCTTATAGCTCTAGTTTTTATATTTCTTCAACCCTGATAAATAAAAGACAAAGTTTCACCCTTTTGATGGTCACTTGAGCATTATTAAACTCATTTTCCCTTGTAATGTGGAGGTTTCTCTGATTCTGTTATTTGTCACTCTACTGGTGACAAAACTACCTTCAGCTTCTCCTCTTGTGCATATGACTCTTTCAACCAAAGCCCCCACTTCATGCATGTCCTACCTTTTGGGAGCTTTCTTTAAGCAAATGCAGTTAGCTGGTGTGCTGCATGACTGCACTGCAGAATTCGTGTGGTTGGGTGGCAGTTTCTCACCCTAGTCCTTAGTTGCTCAGCGATTCTTTTGACATGAACGTGCAGGTGCCCAGACAGCATGTTTTGGTGACTTACAGCCAGGTGCCTCTAAACTGCAATAGCACAAATACAAAGACATGTTTCTTACTTCTCTTAGTTTCTCTTTGAAGCAGGCTAAGTATACCTCCATAAACTTTCATAAAAAGACTCTGGCTTTTGTTTAGTGTGTTAAGATAGTTGACAAAACAGGGATCCAGAATGTATAGGTCTCGCTGATATATGAGTCTTAGGAGATTCCAGTCATTTGACCTGCTCTCAGACTTGTTCATGATCTTGATCATGTCTGATCTTTGGAAGAAATGTTGACCTGTTGGGGAGAAACCTAAATAATTACCACTTTCCTTTTTGGTCTGACCAAAGAGCAAAGATGGGCAATACTTTACTGGTTTCCTCTCATGTTTGAAGCAAGCTGCAGTGTTTTCTCAAGTTCTTGCTCCATTTTCAAGCCTTCCTCACAGACTGAGATCTCTTTTCTTGGCATTTTTCTTCCTCTTCTCTGTTTTGGATAAAAACTTTCTTGCAAGCTAGGCCCTTTTGGGAGGCCATTGACCTGTAATCTGTGATCTGTGGATTGCAGGTATAGGCAAGATGATCAAAAGTGGTCCATAGAGTCATATCACTTCAATAATAATGCTTTCAGCTAAGTTAACAATAACTGTGCATATTGGTCCATTTTGATCTATTTGAATTTGGAAATTTGACAACAATGCACAACTCTCACAGTCTAAGCACCATTTCTCTAAGCTCTTCCCAGCCATAGTCATAGAAATTAATAGGTGTATTTTGTTTTCAATTAATAATGAAGATCTCTTGTCTGTAATATTTTAATCATGAACCCAGTAAAATATCAGTGGTGCTGGAAAGAGTAAAGCTTCCCCACATTCCACTAAGTAAATCAAATATTATTTGGTACATCTGGAGTCATAATTAGAGCCTCCTTGCACTCCTTCAGTGAGCTACATACCTCAATAATCTCAGTTTCTCTTGTAGTTCTTTATAAGCTCCTCAAATGCCAGATCTGTAAGTACAGCTGCTAACGTGAAAAGGAGCACTACAAGTTTCAAAAAGAGGGGATGGGTTTAGAGTCTTTCATAATCAATTTTGTACTACCCGAAGGTACAGTTCCAAGGCTAGAAGCTTAGTGTCAGAAATTGCCCCATGTCCCAAAACTGTGCAATTCCGGATGTAAGATTTAGCCCAAAGGAGACAAGAGTGAGCAAATTGGTTGTTGGGCTTGAGGAAAAATACTCCAAACAGGACCAGAATGTCAAGTTACAAGAAAGCATTGTGATGAGACATGAAAGATAGCCATTCAAGTCAGGAAAGTGTTTACTCTGAAACCTAATTAAAATGTCAGTTCTTGTTTCTACAGATCATTTGTGCATAAATGTCAGACTGGTGATTTTATTTTGGAGGTAGTGACCATTACTGGACTGGGCAGCAACAGGGCTGTGAGTCATTAGTAATTGTTGTGGTAACAAGTCATATTATCAAAATTATCCCCATTAAGGCAAT